CTCTCATTCATCCCTCTCCCCCTCTCTTTCTCTCTCTTCTTTCATTCTAAACTTCCTCCCCTCTCATATATTCCTCTCTTTACTCTCACCTCCCTCACTCTTCCCTACCCTCTCTACCTCTCTCCCTTCCATAAAACCTTTCCCTCACCCCCCTCCTTCCCATCTCTTTCTCTCATTTACACTATCCTCCTCCTTTATCTTTTCCTCTCCTTATATCTTTCCCTCATCTCTCTTTTTCATTTTCTTTTTACCCCCTCTCTCCCTCTCTCATCCGTCCCCTCCCCTTCACCCCCCTTAACCTCTCTCTCTCCCTTTCTTCCCCCTCCACCCCTACCTCCCTCCTTCCCCCACTACGTACCCTCCCTACTCTCCCTTTCTTCCCCCTCCACCCCTACCCTCCCTCCCTTTCCCCCTCTACACGTACCCTCCCTACTCTCCCTTCCTCCTCTATATTCCACCCCTCCCTCTCCCCCTCCTCATGGTCGTGGTCTAAGCCGTGGTCAAGGTGCGGAAGGCGTGGGTCGGGACGAGGCTGGAGGCAGTAATCGGCATGTCATCGTTACGAGAGGAAGTAATGGTCGCTACACGGATATTAAATCCCTTCCCGACCCCTCTCTCTCTCTCTCTCTCTCTCTCTCTATCTCTCACTCTCCCCTCCCCATCTTCCTCTCTTATCTCTCCCACTCTCCTCGCTCTCCCCATCTCTCCCACTTACTGCCTTCCTTCACTACTCTTCTCACTCATAAATAGCTCCTTATACTCTATCTCTCCTTCTCCTCCCCCCCCTCCTCCCTCCCCTCACTCTCGCCTTCCCCATCCAGCCATTCCCTCCTACCCCCTTTCCCTCATGTTACCTTCCTCCCATCACTTATCTCACTCCCCTTCCTTTCCTCCCTTGTTTCCCCTCATCATTATTCTCTCTTCCCTCATTTTTCACCTTCCCTCCCTCTCTTCCTTCTTTCTTTCACTAATTTCTACATACCTTCTCCCCTCCCTTGCCCCATTCACTATCTGTCATTCTCTCTCACTCTCTCTCTCTCGGCTTTCTGTTGCTGCAATGATCACCTTCCTCTAGTAGGCCTGAAGTACCTACACCAGGTGGTCACACACACACACACACACACACACACACACACACACACACACACACACACACAGTTCATCCTCCGCCAGGTGAATACGGAACAGATACCGCCAGTAAGTCGTTCCGTCGACTCGTGCGTCCTTCCGTGCATCCGTCCGTCGACTCGTGCGTCAGTCCGTCGACTCGTGCGTCAGTCCGTCGGCTCGTGCGTCGTATTATATTGCTTTCTTCAGCCGTATGCTTGTTTGGCTGTCAGTCTGTCCATCTGTCTGTCTGTCTTTCTATATCGCGAAAATATCACCCTTATCTGTCTGTACATATTGTAGGTGTTATGACCTTCGTCGAAGCTTCATATGACCTCTTCAGTGACCTAATTTAACCTCTTCGGTGACCTAATTCTACCTCTTCGGTGATCTTATTTGACCTCTTCAAAAACCTTATTTAACCTCTTCAGTGACTTTATTTGACCTCTTCAGTGATCTTATTTGACCTCTTCAGTGATCTTATTTGACCTCTTCAGTGACCTAATTTGACCTCTTCAGTGACCTTATGTGTCCCTTCTAAAACGATCCAAATACAGTTTCAATTCAATAATATTACGGTAACTTAACAATAATAATAATAAATAAATAATTCTCAGTATTTACTCCTGACGAAAAAAATTAAATTCTAAACACTTCTAAATTCTCAAAGGAATTTTTAAGAGGCCCACCAGTCTTTTTTCTACAAATTCCCAGATTGAAAAAATTAAAAAATAAATAAATACAAAATAAATAAATAAATAAATAAATATACTATATATATATATATATATATATATATATATATATATATATATATATATATATATATATATATATATATATATATATATATATATATATATATATATATATATATATATATATATATTCTTGAGTATTACCAAATTCTGAATGGAAATTTTTAATGCCACAAAACAATACCTTTTTTTCCGGTAATTCCCAGATTGTAAAATAAATGTGAAAAATATTTAAACAGATTTGACCAGGATATATGATAAATTAATATATTACCCAGATTTGACCTTTAAAAATACACAATAATTAGTCATTGTCCCAGATTTTACCCAAATAAATAAACGGAAATATTTCGTGTTTATAAATAAAAGCGCTCGTCTCTTGTTATAATGCGTATGTAAAAAAAAACTCTAACACAACCTGGAAATAATAATAATCATCTCCAACACAACCTGGAAATAACAATAATCATAATCATCTCCAACACAACCTGGAAATAACAATAATAATAATCTCCAACACAACCTGGAAATAACAATAATAATAATCATCTCCAACACAACCTGGAAATAACAATAATCATAATCATCTCCAACACAACCTGGAAATAACAATAATCATAATCATCTCCAACACAACCTGGAAATAACAATAATCATAATCATCTCCAACACAACCTGGAAATAACAATAATCATAATCATCTCCAACACAACCTGGAAATAAACATTCATCGTTGTATATCCCTCCGTGTATAAAATATCCCCCCCCCCATTCATTATACAGTACATCATATACACACCGGCTAATGTTATTTGGGTTAGGTTATAAATGCCATGAACACAACTATATAAACCGAGCCAAATCTAATATAAATTACTCGTATTAATGTATATATATATATATAAAAATCTATAACTATATACGTGGTTTTATCTACAGTAGGTTATATTTATTACTTGGTATTATTATTCGGGGTTGGTAACATTGTATATGAACATCGGGAGCGGTTGGTAACACTGATGGTAGTACAGATGGAACACTGACGGAACACAACTGAACACTGACGGGACACGATGGAACACAACTGAACACTGACGGGACACGATGGAACACTGACGGAACACAACTGAACACTGACGGAACACAAACGGAACACTGACGGAACAAGACTGAACACGACGAAACACTGACGGATTACTGACGGAACAAGACTGAACACGACGAAACACTGACGGATTACTGACGGAACAAGACTGAACACGACGAAACACTGACGGAACACAACAGAACACTGTCGGATTACTGACGGAACAAGACTGAACACGACGAAACACTGACGGAACACAACAGAACACTGTCGGATTACTGACGGAACAAGACTGAACACGACGAAACACTGACGGAACACAACAGAACACTGACGGAACAAGACTGAACACGACGAAACACTGACGGAACACAACAGAACACAACAGAACACTGTCCGGATTACTGGTGAACAGGAGCGAACACGGCAAGCACTGACGGAACACAAATGAACACTGACGGAACACAACAGAACATGACGGACTACTGACGGAACAAGGCTGAACACGACGAAACACTGACCGGAACACAACGGAACACTATCAAAGCACAGCCTTAATTATTATCGGCAAGCAAAAAAAAAAGCCTCGTTTGTAAATTCACAAAGATTTATATTCATTATTCAATATTGTTTATATACGTGGATAATATAATGATATTCCTTACCTCGACGATAATATGCCATTGTGAGAGAGAAAGAATCAATGTGTGTGTGTGTGTGTGTGTGTGTGTGTGTGTGTGTGTGTGTGTGTGTGTGTGTGTGGGCTTCAATCACGGAGTAACCTGAGCCGTGACACTCCACCCACCGTGTGGAGTTTTCTCATTAGGGAATGATCGTGTGTTTGTCCAGCCACACTACCACACCCTCCCTCTTCCCCTTCCTCTTCCCGTTTCAATATCCACCCACCTACCCTCAACTCCTACCTCCTCCACCCACTTTCCATCCCTACCTCCACCCCTACGTTCACAATATTCCCACCCTTTCTCTCATCGTCACCACCCCCTCCACCCTCACATTATCTAACACCCACTTCACCATCATCCCTACTACACACTTACCTACACCACACCCTCCACCCTCGCCACACCCTCCACCCTCGCCACACCCTCCACCCTCGCCACACCCTCCACCCTCGCCACACCTACACCCTCGCCTCACCTACACCCTTAACAACCAAGTGTCTTCCACTACATAAAGTAAACGTACAGTAATGGCAGTTAGGTCACTGTAGCTCACAGTAACATAAATATAATGGTAATTAAAGGTGAATCATGTCACGTACAGTAATGGCAGTTAGGTCACTGTAGCTCACAGTAACATAAATATAATGGTAATTAAAGGTGAATCATGTCACGTGGTACATAATCATATTACTGATAACTGTGTGTGTGTGTGTGTGTGTGTGTGTGTGTGTGTGTGTGTGTGTGTGTGTGTGTGTGTGTGTGTGTGTGTGTGTGTGTGTGATGTGTGTGTGAGATGTGTGTGTGTGTGTGTGTGAGATGTGTGTGTGTGTGTGTGTGTGTGTGTGTGTGTGTGTGTGTGTGTGTGTGTGTGTGTGTGTGTGTGTGTGTTGTGTGTGTGTGTGTGATGTGTGTGTGTGTGTGTGTGTGTGTGTGTGTGTGATGTGTGTGTGTGTGTGTGTGTGTGTGTGTGTGTGTGTGTGTGTGTGTGTGTGTGTGTGTGTGTGTGTGTGTGTGTGTGTGTGTGTGTGTGTGTGTGTGTGTGTGTGTGTGTGTGTGTGGTCCAGGTAAATCCAAACATTACAATAATTTGCCTGAGTGTTATCATGGGTTGCTGGTTGTGGCGACAGGGTGGACACAGTACAGTTCTCGCAGTCTGGTCTTCACCTGTGAAGGAGTGACAGTTCGGGGAGTGAAGGCAGCCGAGTGCAGTGCCGACCAACCTGTCTTTTTGGTGGACTCATAATGAGTTTAGTCCAGGGCTGTACTTTACACTAAATTGTTGTTGTTGTTACAGTATAGTTAAGTGTTCTCAGTGTTACAGTATACTTGAGTCTGTACTAAAGTGTTGGTGTTGTTGTGTTACAGAGGTGGAGAGTGAACCCCGCTTCACCAGTCGACCCCTCAAGCCCGATACTGTGCCGTCCTCAAGGTCATCCTTCGAGAGGTCCTCCTTCACTATCTCCTCCCTAGTGGGCAGGAGTCTGTCGCCCTGGGCCAACCACGTTGACAGCCACGACGCCCAGGAGAAGACTAAGGAAGAGGAGGAGGACGACGACGAGGAACATATCGAAGTAGTAGACAGCGTGGAGGAGGCGCCCCTCAATGACTCCCAGGACACGACGGGTGAACAGAGCAAAGACGACGGGGACAAGTCTCCCGTGCCCCGCCATCTGTCGCCACCCCCAGCGCGAGACGACAGTCCCGTCGTGTCGACGAGTCTCTACGACAAAATGTCGCCCGGGATCACCAGAGTCCCCATGCCGGAGTTCAGCATGGCCCTGAACCTGTCCTCCAAGCCAGACGAAGGGACAACATTTAGTTTACGTGAACCTCTAGTTACCAGCAAGATTAGTGAAGCGGGCAGTTTAGTCCCTTCATTGTCCCCTCGTGAGGCGCACAGTTTCCCCATCTCCCGGCCATTTCTCCCCTCCCTGCCCCTTCACGCCCGTGAATCTCTTCTTGATCTGCCGCGGCCGCCCAGCCTGCCCCTAGGGCTCTACCCGCCGCCGCCTCTCGTGCTCTTCAAGAAGGACGGCGAGGCGTCTTCCTCGTCGAGTCTGGACGCCAACCGTAACAGCCTGGTGTCGTACCCGTCGTCCCTCAGCTATTCCTTCCCCTGGAGCATGGCGGCGTCCGACAGCCTCTTCCCATGGTCTCTCCCAGGTCACGGCTCCCTGCCCCTGGACGGCTCCCTGGTGAAGCCTCTGCCTCTGGGCGACGTGTACTCGTGCATCAAGTGTGAGAAAATGTTCAGTACGCCCCACGGCCTCGAGGTACATTCACGACGCTCACACAACGGCAAGAGACCCTTCGCCTGCGAGTACTGCAACAAGACCTTCGGCCACGAGATCAGCCTCACCCAGCACAGGTAAGACACTGTTGTCTCTCACCAAAGGTTCCTATGTGTCTCCGTGACTAGTGAGAGAACACATATTGTGGATGTCATTTCAGTCGCCAACTTTTGTCGCCCCTTGAGTCAGACACATGTGTTCCTCAGTCGAGCATCACGGCGGCAAGACACTTGACGTGAGAATCTTGGTGGCCATCTGGACCCAGCCAGGACCACCTTGTTATACACTCATTCCTGCTAAACAATGACCTTTAAAGCGCCGATCGTCAGTCTAACTGCTGAGTACCATCATTACTAAAAGTGTGACCTGAACTTAACAGTCAGCCTACACCTGTCATAACACCTGAGCTGGAATTAAATCACAAAAAATTACACAATCAAGCAACTACACCTGTTAATACACCTGTATTCACACAATCTACACCACAACAACTACACCGTCAGGCAGGTTAAGGCACCAACCACACCTATTATAACAGGTGTACTTGTGTCCCCCAGAGCGGTGCACAACGCGGAGAAGGTGTTCGAGTGTAAGCAGTGTGGCAAGTGCTTCAAGAGGTCCTCCACACTCTCCACACACCTGCTCATCCACTCAGACACCCGCCCCTACCCCTGTCAGTACTGTGGCAAGCGTTTCCACCAGAAGTCCGACATGAAGAAGCATACTTATATACACACTGGTGAGTACCCTTGTCCACACATTATGTACGTATTCATGCTATGTACGTATTCACACTATGTACGTATTCATGCTATGTACGTATTCACACTATGTACGTATTCATGCTATGTACGTATTCACACCACAGGTATGTATGTATTCACTATGGTGAGTACCTTCGTCCACACATTGTACGTATTTATGCTATGTATTCACACCATGTTCGTATTCACACTATGAACGGATAAGGTATTTATAAATGATTACCATAACTACACTCTGTATACGTATTCACTATGATGGATGAATAATCTCGCGGAAATTTTGTCTCACGTTATTCACAAGAGCAAGTGTATAGGAGAGAAGGTTTTATTCATGTTTATTCACAAGAGTAAGTACACCAAGCGAAGATTTATTCGGGGTTATTCATAATGATGAGTAAATTAACACTGGAAATTTATCTGAGGTTAGGTTAGGTTAGGTTTACCACAGACTTAAATCTCCCACACACTCTTACCGACGCACTCGAAAAAAATATATATTAAAAATTAAAACTCACAATATTCTCAAAAAGTAATGTGAGGGAGAACCTGTGTATATTGATGGGTCGCACCTGCACACACCTGTAATAATAAAAGTAACAATCATTCACCTGTTCCGTATATCTCTCCCTTCTCCCTTCCATCCTTTCTCTCACCTCTCCCTTCCATCCTTTCTCTCACCTCTCCCATCCATCCTTTCTCTCACCTCTCCCTTCCATCCTTTCTCTCACCTCTCCCTTCCATCCTTTCTCTCACCTCTCCCTTCCATCCTTTCTCTCACCTCTCCCTTCCATCCTTTCTCTCACCTCTCCCATCCATCCTTTCTCTCACCTCTCCCTTCCATCCTTTCTCTCACCTCTCCCTTCCATCCCCTTTCTTCACCTCCCTTCCATCCTTTCTCTCACCCTCCTCTTTCCATCCTTTCTCTCACCTTCCTTCCATCCTTTCTCTCTACTTCTCCCTTCCATCCTTTCTCTCACCTCTCCTTCCATCCTTTCTCTTACCTCTCCTTCCATCCTTTCTTCCCACCTCTCCCTTCCATCCTTTCTCTCACTTCCCCCTTCCATCCTTTCTCTCACCTCTCATTCTCACCCTCTGTCGACGCTTATTCTCATCTCACTTAATTCTCAATTTTAATTCTTCTTCTTCATCAATCTCCTTCATTTCCTATTATCTTCTCTTATCTCTTCTTCCTGCTGTTACTGTCACTCACCTATTTCCTCCCCTTCCTTCCTTCCCTCCCTCTCTCTCTCCTTCTCACTGTTATTGTCTCTTACCTATCTCCTCTCTCCCAGCCACCCTCCCCTCCCACACTCTACCATCCTTCCCTCCATCTTCTAGTCTCCCTCCCTCCCCATTGACCTCCTTCATCAGGCCTCCTTCCCTTCCATTTTTTCCTCCCTCTACCCACTGTCAATTTCTCTCACCCATCCCCCTTTCCTCCCTCCTATCCTCCCACCCCATCACCACCCTCATCAGCACCACCACCCCCCTCCCCCCACCTAAGACAGCCATCACAGCATCCACCCCCCCCACTAAGACAGCTCACCCCCTCCCCACTAAGACAGCCATCAGCACCACCCATAAAGACAGCTCACCCCCCTCCCCCACTGACAACCATCACTCCACCCCTCCCCCCACTAAGACAACCATCAACACCACCCCCCTCCCCCACACTAAGACAGCCATCAACACCACCACTAAGACCTCCCCCCACTGACAACCATCAGCACCACCCCCCTCACTCCCCCCACTACTAGACAGCCATCAGCACCACCCCTCCCCACTAAGACAGCCATCAGCACCCACCCCCCTCCCCCACTAAGACAGCCATCAGCACCACCCCTCCCCCACTCAAGACAGCCATCAGCACCACCCCCTCCCCCACTAAGACAGCCATCAGCACCACCCCCCCCCACTACAGCCATCAGACAGCCATCAGCACCACCCCCTCCCCCCACTAAGACAGCCATCAGCACCAGACAGCCATCGCCCCCTCCCCCCACTAAGACCCCAGCCCATCCTCAGCACCACCCTCCCCCACTAAGGCAGCCATCAGCACCACCTCCCCCCCCACTAAGACAACCATCACCACCCCCTCCCCACAAAAGACAGCCATCAGCACCACCTCCTCCCCCCACTAAGACAGCCATCAGCACCACCCTCCCCCCCCACTAAGACAGCCATCAGCCCACCCCCCTCCCCCCACTAAGACAGCCATCAGCACCCCTCCCCACTAAGACAGCCATCAGCACCACCTACCTCAGTCTCCCCTCACTTCCTTTTTCCCCTCGTCAGTAGTGGTTCATAAAGAAGGTCAAGTGTTAGTTTTAAATGTTTACGGCCGCGTTCCACAGCTCTGAAGTCGACCATCCAGTGAATCAACACCAGATACACACACACACACACACACACATATATATATTCTTCTTCTCTTCGGCAGCTTATTATTTACCTGTTGTTCTTTTTTATTTTATTTTCCTTCGTTTTTCTTTTCGGGTTCTTGTTCTTCTTCATCTTCTTCATATCTTCTCCTCCTCCTGCTCCCCTTCTTCATTCATTCCTTCTTCTCCCCTCTTCCTCTTCTTCTCCCCTCTTCCTCTTCTTCTCCCCCTCTTCCTCTTCTTCTCCCCCCTCTTCCTCTTCTTCCTCCCCTCTTCCTCTTCTTCCTCCTCCTCTTCGTCTTCTGCTCCACCAAGTCTCATGGCTCTATTTTCATCATCTTTATCTGTTTTCTTTTGAAATTCTTTCGGTCGTCTTCCAAAACTTCACAGTCGGAAATTCACTAAATCATCACAATTATTTCCGCTTCTTCTGCTTCTTTGTAGTTTTTGTTTTTCTTCTTCTTCTTCTTCTTCTTCTTGTCTTCCATTAAAACTAATTCTAAATCAACTGACAAACACAAACTTTTTTTTTTGCTTCTTCTTCTTCCTATTCTTATCTTCTTTGTCTTCGTCTTCTCTATATTTTTTCTTCTTTTCCTCATCTTCTTCCTATTCTTATCTTCTTTGCATTTTTCTTCCTCGTCTTCTTCAACTTTTTATGGCCGTCTTTCAGAGCTCCTGAGATGGCCGTCCACTGAATTAACAACGACAAACACTTTCATCCTTCATTCGCTTTCTTTCTTCTTATTATTATTCTTCTTTTCCGACAACATCTTCCTTGTTTCCTACCACTTCTTCTTCCTTCTTCTTCTTGTTCTCCTACCACTTCTTCTTTCTTCCTATCTTCTTCTTGTTCCAAAACCTAACTCAACAGAGAGACAAATAACCACCATAAGTTATAACACACAAGATTAATCTGTCCCAATCAATGAAGAGTATAATTATAACCTCGAGTTCCCAGTCATTCTCATCAACCCAATCCAGGTGTTTTGTTTTGATCTGGCCAAGAGTGTCGCTGTGGGTGTTTGTGAGGACGGGCTGGAATATATACCCCCCACACCCCCACACCCCCACCCACCCCACCCCTATCCCCATACTCCGGGAATCAGTTAGTTAGTTGGAGTATTGGTCAACCTCGTCGACTTGGTCTCTGAGCTTGTTGTTCCATCATCTCTTGTCTGGATGGATTATATACATGACCTGTGACCGCTACACGAACACGCCACTTACGTCTTACACACATACACACACACACACATACACACACACACACATACATACATACATACATACATACATACATACATACACACACACACACAGACGCTACATACACACAACACATACACACTGTACACACAACATACTACACACACACACACACACACACACACACACACACACATACATACATATACACACACACAGACGCTTACATACACACAACACATACACACTGTACACACAACACACACACACACGTATTAATAAACCACAAAATAATATCTCCGCGGAGTCAATACATGAAACAGGCTGAGCCGGATAAGTAAAAAGGGAAGCCGGTGCTTTTAAAGTCTCATCCGGCTGCTCTTTTGTCAGGCCGGAAACCGAGTATGAAATCCTATTTGACAAACCACTGACTTGAAACCCGCCATTGACTCCTCCCTCCCTCTCTCCCTCCCTCCTCCCTCCCTGTGCCCTCCACTCTCCCTCCCAGCCACTGTCCTCCATCCCTCCCTTCGACTGACTCCACTCTTCCCCTCCCACTGGCTTCACTCCTTCCCTCCCTTTCATTAGTCCCTCCTTCCCTCCTAATGCTCCTCTGCTCTATCCTAACGTCCCACTCTATCTCTCTCTCCACACTCCCTCTATCCCACCCCTCTCCATCTCCCCACCCACTCTCTATCTCCCCACCCCTTTCTATCCCCCACCTCTATCTCCCCACCCCCTCTATCTCCCCACCCTCTCTTCTCCCCCCCACCAGAGCCACAACTACCCAGGCAGTTCCTCCCCATCATTACACATGAGAGGCTGAATCATACTTGTTCATCCCAGAGTGAAGTGAGTCTGTACCAGCTATCTGTCTGTCTGTCCATCCGCCGTCCGTCCGGTTCATCTGCCTGTCTGTCTGTCCTTCCGTCCGTCCATCCGTCTATCTGTTCTGTCTGTCTGTCCTTCCATCCGTCCGTCCGTTCATCTCTCTGTCCTTCCGTCTGTCCGTCCGTCTGTCCGTCCGTCTGCTGTCCTCTGTATAATCTACCTATAGGTTGTCTATTTATCATTTCATTTATCTATTCCTATTCCTGAACTTTCAAAGATTTTTTTCCTCTGTTGGCTAAATGGTGTAAGATTTTAAACACCTACTTTGGGTTACAGGGTTCGATATTACAGGGCTCTAATTAGTGCAGGTTCATTATTCCTAAATTATCCACAGTAGGTTCAAAACTGTACTTACCCACTGAAGGTTCTTAATCATCCCCCACTAAAAGTTCACACTGACCTTGAGGTAGAGCTGGACCTGTAATGGATCATGGTGAGTGTTAGTACAGGGACCACGGTGACTACAGCAACATTACTACATGAACGAGCACACAAAATAAAAAGGGACGATATTGCCAT